TTAAATCCAAACACCGAGACACAATAGTATATTCGTCATGGATAAATGCCCTGAAGCAAAGCTCACTAAATGGATACATTCAGTCAAAAGTGCACATTTCAACGATATCATCCGTAACGCAACTTCGTACGATTTATGGCCATGCCCGATTCCACTGATTTACCCCCGGGTGCGTACTGTCGAACACTAAAGGGTGGTTGAATATCAAAGCTCTCTACGGGCGCACAAAGCACATTTGCAGCCTCATTTCCATTCTGTTTTATCCCGATCAAAAAACCAATGTGAACCCCCTGCGTATAGTTTGGCACCGTTGCGATACGGTATACCACAGAAATGATGACAAACGATCCCATACAGATCGATAATCATCTGGCCGACGCTCAACAGGCTGATCTTCATTTTTTCTAACAAGTGAACCAATTGCACAAAAGCGCATCTCAGTTGGTAGCCACCACACATGCTGTTCCGGCCACACAAACACACACAAGTGGTATCGATACTATTTGCTCAGGCAAAGGGGGAATCTGCTACCTACAGTTCTGGGTCTTTGCAGTCCTAGACTTGTAATTGCAACTGATTGAAAGGTGTCACGAGATCCAGTCACTGTGTATAGTATAGTTGTCAATGTGAGAAACAGCGTCAGCAAATGAGTGCGTGACATTCCCACATTCTGGAGTTATTGCTGTGCGAATACATGCATGTGTGCGTGTGAGAAGGGAGAGCGGTGATATGCAGCAACCCCTTAATTTCAAGCAGTACAAACCAGGAAAAAAGCGGGAAATTCATCTTGGCCATAAATCACATAAAGATGCATTATCGGTGACATTGTTGAAATTCAATCGTGCGGGTATCATTTTCGCACTTTACACAACAATATGTTCAAAAAGTGGCACAGTGGAAGAACAAAGCGAAGATCTTTAGATCCTTCAGATCAGTTTTACCACAGTTGATCAGACGAGTGGTTTTCTACCACATTATTTAGAATTATCAAATAACACGTGTTATTGATTGAAAAGCTGAATCCATTCTCTTCACTTCTTATCTATGGGATACTGTTTTGCCATCAAAGAATCTCATGGGCGGACCAAACAATCAACCCCGCGAAACCGAGTTTGTACCCAGAATGATTCACTTACGGCTTGTCACACGTAGATCGCTCGTTGAGCTCCATACCACATAACCCTTCCCCCCTCTAGACCAGGATGAAAATCATTCCGAGTGATTGAGTGTTCTCTGCGGGAGAAACCCGTGCGTATGATTTAGTATGATCGAGAATGGAAGAATAACCCTGATGTCCATCGATCTCGACGGTCATGAGGAGAACAGTAGTAAACGATATGCTGTCAAGCCAAGTCAATTCAATTTTATCTTTGTTCCCTGTTGTTCACCACTCAGTGGACTGTCTTGCTGTCTCCAACTTCGTTATATTTCCCCAAGGACTGTCTGGATTAGATTTGTTCTCACATAGAATGATACAATCCCACTTGGAGTGGGATAGGTTTGAATAAAAGATCATCTTTCGGCTGAATGTAACTACCTATACCATTTTGAGATTGAGTTGAGAAACTGTCACTTTGATTTGCGCAACCGTTACCTTAAATTGAGAAAGAAACGTTGTGGTTGGATCCGATTCCGTTCAGCACACCTCATTGGTCAGTTGATCACACGTTTTTTTTCTACCCCTGGATTGATGACCGGTCTTCCCACGGGCTCTTCCCCTGTGTTGAAATGAGGCAGATCTCAGTCTTGCATCTTGTCGAGCTCTGTGACGGACATCGATTAGGTGAGTCGGTGAGGTCGTGCGATTTGCGCGAGACAGCTAAATTGGGCCTTACTCGATAAGCACGAAGTTTGACGCACTGTTTCTTGTGCGCTACAACTAGGGCCCAGATGTTCAAGGTGGCTCGGACACTGACGACAGCTTAGACACCAGAGATTACTACGACCACGACGACGACCACCATCACCACCTGATTTCCCCCATTCTATGTTGTATTGCAGTCCTCTGATTACTTAAATCAGGTTTGAGAATATGAATGGTCAGAGCCTCGGAAATTTTCAGTAATGTTGTGTTTGTTATGTTGTAGATGATCTGGAAAAATGAGGGCTGGTGTGACAGTGTTTCTGTTCGAATAGGTGTCATGTAATCAAAGAGCTGAGCTTTTTCTCCCCTTTGAATGAAGCAATTTAAAACTTATCTTTCATCACCTTCTTCAGCCCCATCGGGATGTGTTCGGCATTCGGTGACGCAACTGCCTCTCTGTCCTGCCTATGTAGATGACTGATCATCCACACTTGAGTTGGAAAATGCTATTTGATTTCACAGGAGAACGGCTGTACAGTAGTTCCTAGCTTTTTCAGTTCACTTTTCATTTACTCAGTGTATGACGAATTCCCCCAAGAAACCAAATTGAATTTTCCAATTCAAGTGGGGATGCTCAGTCATTTACATGGGCAGGACAAAGATGCAGTTGCATCACTGATTGACCGAACACATCCCGGTGTAACTTGAGAAGGGGACTGCTAACAAGTTTGAAATTGTTAGATCATCGAATGGACAAACTCAGCTCTTCGATTACATAACACCTATTCGAAGAGAAACATTATGTCAAACTAGCCCTCACTTTTCCAGAAGGAATAAATATGGACCAGAGAACACTTGCAAGTTAAAAGAAGTGTTTTGAGAAGATATACCGAGGTCCTTCAACTGAATGAGTGATAATTGATAATTATAGCAGCTGAGATAAGGAAGTGGGGGCTATACAGTTTTCACTCCCCCCTTGTTGAGCACTTGCCGCCCTATTTATCACATCATACATAGTTTCATTATGGAGTTCAGTATACTTTATCGCAACGTGATGTCAATAGCTCTGAGTCGGTATGGTTTTGTTAGACAATATAGAAAGCGGGAGTGAGTGGGGAATTCGAAGGCCATCCAGGTCTAGTTGCTTCTCCACTGAGCTCACATAGGTAGGCGGGTCCGCACCCCGGGTGAAATTCATAGATCGGATTAGATTTGGCGTTGGGAAAGATGAAGGAGCTTCAGCTGGTGTTGCCGATATCTGCATGGTTCCATAAACAACATTCGGATTGACTGCCTGATGGGTTCGTGGAAGAAATTAATACGAACCTTTTTTTCAAGTAATATTCCTATTTCATAATTAGCGGCCCACTAGAAAAATGTTATCTATACTCAGCCATAATCACTTGTGAAACGTTGTTCACAGCGCTACGGACACGACAAATTTATTAAGTGACTTCATTATTTGTGGTTCATTCAACAACAACAACAATAATAATAACAATAACAATAATGTATTAACCCTGATTAAAGGGTAAATTTTCATAAACGAAAAAAGTCAAACCGCCTCAACCGTTTCCTGCTCAGCCGCGGGCATCGCTTTCGGATTGTAAGCCGGTTACTTAGATGAACGTCCAGTCAGGTAGTGTTGATGCGTGTGTGCGTGTGTGTTTGTGTGCGTGTGACAAGCCAATGGCAGTCAGCCCTCCCTGGCTCCGGTTGGGTATGCGCACTGCTGATGCTGCCTAATAAGGATGAAACGACGGTACAGTGGGATTCCAAGAGCTTTCAATGTCGAGGAACGTGTTACCTCCGCTTGGAGAATACACTATGATAAACAAATAGTACCAATGCAATTTTCATTCTTGACATCTCTCTAAGCGCCTTCATTTAATGTCATTTTAAAATCGGTTTTTAGGAAGAGGAGAGAAGCCATTCACAGACTGCCAGGAACCACGCACAGTCAAATGTGATGCCTCAGCAACACAGCCACAAAGTTTGGCACACCGTGGAACAGTCACCACATCCATTGTTTTTCTTTTGGTATCATTCGTTCCTCAAAACCAAAAACGGGGAGTTTTTTGTGTTGTGTTTATGACCGATAAAAAGAGAAAGCTGTATCAGGCAATAACTAAGAAAAAGGAACTTTGATTTCGTAAGAAGGTCTTCGTCCAACTAACCCTCCAGAGCGGCTAGTGAATACAGCCAAAATAAGAGGCCTGTGCTGAGTAAGCGTTATTCTAAGCTCTATCCCCGTATAATAATGCGTTTCATACGATTATTAGGTTTTGGGTCTCGTTTGCAAATAAAGAATGAGTCGATCACTCCAGGGGCCACAGAATAAGTGAGAGCAGACCAGCTCTACTCTGTCATCGTTTCCTGAGTAATTCGGGAGTTTCAAAAACCATACAAACAATACAAAACTGAATCAGTAACCAATTTTTTGTGATTTTGCTGCGTACACGTGATGGGAAAGCAACGCGATAATGCTTTTTTCAATCATCGCTCTTTCCAACATCCTATCCTTACCCCACCACTTCACTATGCAGGCATACGAAAAGCCACCGAGCAGGCAATTTTGAATGCCAATTACATGCTCCAACGATTGCGTCCGTATTATCCGATCAAATTTGTGAACCAAAACGGACTGTGCGCGCATGAATTCATTATCGATTGTTCTGACTTCGAAAAGTACGGCGTGATCACAATGGATATTGCCAAACGACTGATCGATTACGGTAAGTCGATGTGTGTGTGTGTGCACACCTACGGTGAAACTGGTATCTCTGTGATTTGATTTCACATTCTATGCTCACATTCAAGTCACAGTTACTTGCCGGATTATTGATGTGAGATGGTTTATATTGATATGGATTAACCATCCTTTAGACTTAATCTTCACGCATAATCCGAAATTCATCCAAAAATCACCCCTGTAATGTAAGTTGAATGCGAATTAAATTCCAGCGTAGTGGATTTGTGGCAAGATTGTCCGAACCGTGTGTGGAATCCCTTAGTTCGTGGGAGACTATCGAATGAACTGAACAGATAGTCAATCATGTCTTTTTTCTTTGCTCGCTAGTAACCGGTTAACGATGATTGAAAATGATTTTAGAAAATAAACATGAATTGGCAATTCCAATCCGCTCGGATGTGAGCTGGTTGACACAGTAGCAACACACGCGTACCATACGATGAATTTGGAGTTCAAAGTCTGGACTGGGCGCTACATGTGCATCATTGAAGAGCTCTGAGAAAAGCGAAACTAGATTCTACTGTTTCTCAAGTGAATGGATCATTGGATGAACTGAGGATTGTGTTTGTGTGTGAAGAAGAACCATGATCAGTTAATTCAGGGTATTCGATGCCGAATGTGTGAACTGCGCATTTGAAATTCTCGTCTACAAAGTGGAAGGACTGTTTATGGTCTTCGGAAATGCCCAACTATTGGAGACAGGCTTAGGAATGGATGAGTGAATGCGAAATATGACGGTCAAACACCTCACGTGTTACTCACACCGCGAGAACCAAATCAATCAACCAATCTCATTGATAACTGCATTCGAATTCACGATGATACCACCTCAAATGGCAAACTATTTAGGAAGAAAGGATAAAATGCACTGCTCTTTTGGTTACAATTCACGTGAAACACACTGTATTCGATTGACTCAAACGAGTCACACAACGACGTTACGGTGTAAAGCACGACACATGTGCATCGTGTTTTTCTTTTGTTGGTATTTGCATCTGTATAAATTTTTTAAGCTTATATGCTTACATTTTATTTAAAAATTTACACGGTTCGTCACGCGGAGTGAAATATACAGTCTAATATAATATGTAACATAAAGAATGTCACTGCGGTTTGTTTCATATACAGAACTTCTGATGTAGTTCACTTAAGACCCATTCCTTTTTGAAGTCGGACCAGGTAGGGTACAATGAACGTTTTATAAATGTTACCGCAAGAGGGTAGATGCCAAAAAGAGGAGCGTGTGGACGGATGGGAATGACAAGATGGTAGATCTGGATGCAGTGGATGAAGAGGGTCTTCCAGAATCTGACTGGCAAATTTAACACAAGAGTTAATTATTGAGTTCTGTTATCAATGAATCGATTAGGATTAGTGATGCACGACTGATTGTTTTCAAACAACGACGAATTCTTTTGAGGTCTTGTTTTGAAAAGCCGGGAAACATTACAGGGGATAATAGAGTAGAATGAGCAAAACGCATTGGTGAGCAAAAGAGAACAGGACTGACTGTGGGTTCATAATTGTCTGAGCTTGTCACTGAAAAGACAGGCGTCTCAGTTTTCTCATACAACTGTATATATGTGTGGGCCAATGAAGGTTGCGGTCGATGATAACACCCTGGTACTTGACTGAGGTTATTCTGTATTCAGGTTTACAGTTAAGGGTAGCAGACTCCGTCGGAAATGAGGAGCGGGAAAGATTGAAAGTATACTCTACGCTCTTAGATATGTTAAGACTAAGACCAGGTGGATTGCAAAACTGTTGGATTAAGGATAGGTTTTCAGTGAAACAATCAAATTCCGAAGGAGATGAAATTTTCTGACATAAAAAGACGTCAGCAGAACATTTTTGGATGTGCGTAGCGGGTGGGACCGAGAGATCACTAGTGAAAGCAGATAAAAGATATGGAGACAGAACAGTGCCTTTAAGAACACCAGAATTATTAACAAGCGGTTGTGATGTCCTCCTTCCTAATTTGGTGCACTGAACTCTCTGTGTGAAATAATCAGAAAGCCATGAGGGCTGCTTTCTTGGAGTGCCAAAAGATTCAAGTTTGAAAAGAAGAGATAATTGAGAAACAGAATCAAATGCGGACGAATAGTAAAGAAAAACACAACTTACAGACTTGGCCGAATTGTTCAATGACATACTGGTATAATAGAGTGGAGTGGATACGTTGTCCAGTGTATATCCGTTGGATTTATATGCAAACTGGATGGGGTAGTGAGGGATTGTGGTAATTGACTGCAAGCGACTCAGAATGGTCTTTTCATTGTGAGATGGAGGACGGCAATTGACTCAGGAGTGCCCGCAAACCCGGGAATACACCCACTGGCATGTTCCAACCGTCCAAGAGGGGACCCACACTAACACCCCTGAATCGACTGGATCACACGTCCTCCTGTCCTACACGGATTCTGGACCGAATTGCTCGATTATCAAGTGAAAATCTTCAGTTAGTTTTAATTACCCTTTTAACCAAAGTATTGTGAGTGGTCCCATGTGTTCCGTACGGCGTTCATTGGTGTCTTATTATTGTCACTTCCAATGGGTAAAAGCAATATTGAACATTTGACCACTATCGAGTGTAACCTATCCGTTTGAATAAAATAAAACACATCGATACATAACCGCACTGTATTACTAAGATGGTTCAGCATACAACCTCCTCCTCATCGCACGGCGTAGTACAGTGAAGCGAACTCGAGTGATCGCTGGCAGACGCACAATGCATGCAAACTAAGCGAGCATGTGAAAAGAGAATGGGGATTTCAGGGACGGGAAAAGAAAGCGAACCTCTATGGTCAATACACAGTGTACACAGTCCAACTATGCATACACACTATTTCAAGCATTCTCGAGTGATCAGAAGTGACAGCCATGACCTTCGGTGCCTCCAACCATCCAATTACGGTGATTTTTTTTACCTCAACCCAGAAGATAAGATACACCTACTTTACGTAATCGCTCTGTGCATTTCTTCGTACCTAATCTCCACGTCATCTACTGGCCTCCATGTGGCTTCCACTAGTCTGGCGCGGTCACTGTAACTAAGGTCCTGTGTAGTAAGCAATCCTCGGGCATTCGCAAAACGTGTCGTAATCAACGGAGCCTAGTGGACTGAATTTGATGTGGTAACAAGCTCTTGTTCGATGCAGTCCTAAACGCCCGACGACTTACTTCTAGGTTACCAACCGGATCACTCCATCTTACTTAGGTCATACTGCGTAAGCATAGATTACGAAAAATTTGAAGCGACGGATGTTCTCTACCCGAGAATTCAAGCTCTCACAGCCTTGAAGCAGATCTGATCGTACAGAGACGCAATAGGCGTGACTATTTAACTTTCGTGAAATGTCACGTGTTCACCACAGGTATTTTAGTCCTGCGTACGCTGCTCGAACTTTGAAAATGTGTGCGATGACCTCCGTTGATGCGCTATCGTCGTTGCTCACGCAGTTACTCAGTAAGAGAAGCAGTCAACTTCAACTAATTCCTGACCATCTAGTTTCGGAACGGAACTCGGTGACACCCAGTCTTGCAGCATCACTTTGCACTTTGAAGGTGCAAAATGCACGCCTAACGGAGCGACAAAACTTGCCAATCTTCAATTGCTCTTTGTGCATCCCCCATACGTTCAACAGACAGACAATGTCGTCAGCATACTCTGGGTAGAACAGCTTTTCTCCAGCTGTCCATTCAGTACCAACATTTTGGAGATCACTTTGTGCGTTCTCCAGTATTTCACCTTTAACGAAATTAAACAGGAATGGTGAAAGAGGATACCCTTGACGAACGTCGCTACCAGTTTTGAATGACCTTCTCAGCTTGCAGTAGACCTGCACACTACCAGGTTTATGCTAGTAGAGTGACCTTAATCGATTCTTTTACTTCTGCGGTATTCCTTTGCAAAGAAGCGAACCCATTAGAGCTTCGCAGTCAACAGAGTTGAAGACTAGTTTTAGTTAAAGGAACACTACAATCGTTGGTCGACGGTGTGATACAGCTCGAGGACTTGACGCAGCATGAAGACTTGGTCGATACAACCAGAACCTGGGTGAAACCCTGCTTGTTCTCTGATATTTGTCTCTCTGATGGGATTCAGAAGTTGAAGTAGGACGACGGTTAACACTTCGGTGACGACTGAGGTCAAACTTATCCCGCGTTAGTTTGCGCAGTCATTGAGAGATCCCTTCTTGAAAATCGGAGTGGCCAGTGGTTCACTCCAGGTCTATAGGATGCTCTCTTGCGGCCAGACGTTCATCATGAAATCAGCAATGAAATCTACTTGAAAATGGTTGGGAGAAGCCTATCCGGTCCTGCTACTTTTCCTTTCTTCAGGGCTTGGATGCAAGATGGTACTTCTGCTCCAGTCGTGCTTGACACTGCCCACGAAACCCCAACCCCATCAGACGAGATAGTCTGGAT